GGATGTTTGGCAGCCAGGCTGCATGTCGTCATACACTGCCCAGGAAGGCGAGACAGGCATGGGACAGGCATATTCTTCTCAGAGTTTGGGTACCATGTTGCCCTAGAAAGGCTTGTGGCCAAAACACAGGCCTCGTTGTGAGCAGGATTTGAATCTGCGCAGGGAAACGCTATTGGATTGCAAGTCTAACACCTTAACCACTCAGCCATCACAGCTCTAAGTAACAACAGGCCAGGGAAACTGGTAAATAATCTCAGTGCCCAGGCCTGACGTCACCTGACCCGCAGAATTCACACAGCAAACCATTTCAATGGTCATGCAGAGGAGTCCTGGGTGCTCTGGTCTGAGGCTGCCTTAGAGGTGAGTTGAAGGGGAAACCTCACAAAGGAGATTCCAGGCAGCCAGGCCATGGGGGTCTCTGAGATTGTCCCTGTCCCGCCTGGCTGCTGCCAAGGTTGCTCTGTGAGGTCACTGCCTCCCAGCCAATGAGCTGAGGTCATGTAAAAGTTCCTTGTGATGTCACTGATGCCTAACATGCTTATGACCTGCCTCTGGCCCGCATGAGCTGCTCCCTCTGCCCCGTCACTCAGGGCTGGTTCTGGGGCTCAAGCAGGGAACATCAGAGGCTGCTCAGGGGGCCACATTGCTAGGCCAGGGACCCTCCTGTGGGGCTGTGAGTGTTGCTGTCCCTGCTGTACAGACATGGCCATAGAGCCTCAGGAGACTGCAGCAGTGGGAGACACTTCCCTGGTTTCGGGAGGGAGACGAGATATCAAGGCCCATGACTTGGAGCCAGCTGCCAAGTCAAAAGCTGATTTTCAGAGGGGTGTGATCAGCTCTTCCTGTGTATCTGGCTTCTTCAAAGGGGCTTCATTAGGAGCTAAAAGTTGAAGAAGGGCCATTTAGAAGGGTGAATTTCATTCCCTGGAAGCCTTTTCTGTGTGCCACAGTGGCCTAATGCACAAGGCACTGGCCTCCTAAGCCAGGGATGGTGGGTTCAAGTCCCACATGGGGTGACTGTATCCTTTCATTGACAAGGATTTTGCATTTCTCTGAAATAGTTGGCAAGGACGCTCTGCAGCTACTGTCTCCTTCTCTGCAGAAGCTGT